TCTCCTCTTGATCCGGAGGGGTGGAGACCTACAAAAGATTCTCCAATGCCAAAGTCAGTTTCAGAGCAGTGGCTATTTTCAGTAGTAGCAATAAATGTGCATTCAATGTAACCTATCTACCACTCACCGTGGACCTGTATTTATAGTTTTCGCTATGGGCTTGGGATTAGTGAAAAGTTAATCACGGCCCAAAACGGCCCGATAGCTTCTAATTTCTACTTACCTTTAAACCAGGCTACTTTTCCTTAAGTCATGTTGATTAGTGTTTTGGCGGGCGTGGACGTCCGCCCATGTGAAATGGGCGTCTGCCTCGCGCGCACGGAGATCCGCCCATGTGGGTCCGCCCATGCGGGCTCTTTGGTACGGCGTCCGGTTTCGCTTGGCCGTGTCCGCGAAGGTCCGCCCATGCGGGATCCGCCCATGTGGGCGCTTCCGTACGGCGTCCGGTTTTGCTCGTCGTATCCGCCCATATGATATGGGCGTCCGCCTCGTCCGCATGGAGATCCGCCCAATTAGCTTGGGCGTCCGCCCACATGGATCCTTCCGTACGGCGTTCGGCCCTTGCAGATACACAAGCCCCCCAAGTCCTAGTGCACGTAGTGAACGTAGGACTTTAGGTCACCTAACGGACAAGATTTCATGCCGTGGCTGTTGTGCCGGGCTGCTCTGTGATGGTAAGATTCCTTGTGAGTTCTTCAAAGTTTTTCTTATAAAGAGGCTCGGCCCGGTTGGTAGGTGTTCCTCCCTGCTACATGAGGGTTAGGAGAGTTTATACCGGGTCTAGGTTCAATCTTGGGCCGGCTCTTCAACGCATGAGCCTCCGGCGTGCCTTTTACGATTGCGTGCAGGCATTGTCGTAAGTACGGCGCCTGGCACTTCGGCGCCCCTCGTACGGCGCCCGGCATTTCGGGCGTTTCGGCGCCCCTCGTACGGCGCTCGGCATTTCGGGCGTCTCGATATTTCGGGCGTCCTTCGTACGGCGCCTGGCACTTCGGCGCCCCTCGTACGGCGCCCGACACTCTCTGGTACATATATATATATAATTTTTTAATCGATAAAAAATTACCAAATATAAAGTGGGAGTTGCCAAATTTTGATGGCCTATTTAGATCATGGGTCAAGAAAGGCTGACATAAATTTTCCACTTTATTGTTGGGTGAGGCCACCCATTTTGCAGGCTCTTATTAAAATGGAGTAACATGTCCAGATATCAAATTAATATATTTTTTTAAACTTTAAAATAACGAGTATTTTGTTATATATAAAAAAATCGTATAAACCTTTTTTGTATTAAATTTGATATCTTAGTTCAATTAATCTTTTAAATATATATAAATTCTCATATAAGTAGTCCACTTTATTTTATTGCGAAAAGAAAATTACATATAACAAAACATCATATACTATATTTAAATGATAAAATTTAAAAGAAGTTATATAGGTGATTATATTGAATCTATTTGTTTAAATTCTTTTTAGAAAAAAAATTTAAATAAATAATTACTTGGTTGATTAGACTTGACCACTACTCTTCAGGTTGACTTCTTTTATGTGCAATTATGTTTGATTTACCATGAATGTGATGGTGGCTAAAGAGATCTAATGAAAGCCAACTTGTTAGTGGTAGTAGGTGACGCATTCAATTAAAAACAAATATTTTTTTAATCCCTATTATATCACTAGGCATGTGAGAAATTATTGATATTTTTTTTTAATTTGTTGTCTTTGTTTAGTTTATTAAATATTATAAATATTTATATTTTGTATTAATGAATAGTGAGATCTTTAAAAATAGTAGTAATAAAGATTAATTTGGTATATTGATAATATCTTAACTTTTTTAAACTAAATCAATTAATTTTATTAGTATGTATAATTATGTTAAAATTATATTACATTAAAACTAAATGAGAGTAAATTAAAGTGAAAGCAACATAATAAATATTTTTTACTTATATATCTTTAATACGATTAATTAACATTGCTTGCTTAACACCCTCAACTTCCTTTAAATTATTCCAAATCTTATTCATAATAATAATAATAAATAATAATGATTTCTTTTAATAATATTGGCTTAACAAAATTGACCAACTTTCACTTGCTCTGTCTCAAATATTATATTTGATTTCGTGTTCCTTGTTTCACTCTCCTTCTCTTTCTCTATAGTCTTCCTCATTATTCTCTCTCCGAGCTTCACTCTGTTCACCTCTGCAAAAGGGAGAAAAAAATGGGGTTTTCTTCCTTTCTGGGTCGCGTTCTCTTTGCCTCCCTCTTCATCCTTTCGGCATGGCAGTTGTAAGTCACCCTTTTGACAGATCTGTCGGATTTGTTTAAAGGAATTCACTTTCCATTTTGTTTTCGGTTTTTGGATGTTGGCTTTTGTTCTTTCCATTTTGTTTTCGATTTTTGGATGTGGGTTTTTGTTTTCTCGCCTTGGTTTCGAGGATTGAGTGTAAAGGGTGCGGCTTTTTAGGATTTGGAGACGCATTTTGAGTCCTTTTTGTGGACGTCATACACTGATTAATGATTGGATTTTGCTTTCAATTTTAATGTGCATTAATGAATGGAGTTGTTGATTTTCTAGAATATAGGTGCCATTGTGGTTGATTGTTGATTGTTTATTGTCTTTTGAGCAAGGGTTTATAAAATGGTTTGTGACCGCAATTTTGGCGTAAGGTTAATGTTTTTGGAGTCTCTTGACTGCCATTGTGACTGCATCAGCAGTATTTGTCACCAATGTCAAAGATCTTGTTAAGACGTTACTTTTGACTATGGTATCATGTTGAACTTTTAAGTGGTTTTTGAATATCCGTGAGTGAATGTGCTTTTAAATTCTTGAGTTGCATAGTTTTTAAGCTGCTTTTCTTTTGAAGTTACTCACCTCGATTCATTGAGGATTGTAATGTTTGCATGAAGTAGTCAGACTTTGATTATATCATGTATAGTATAGAGCCTTAAGCTTATAGATCTAATTGTGGAGTCGGTTTCATATGTCAAGAAACTTCAGGTTTAGGTTATAAATGAATCTAGTTATGAAAAACAAGATAAAATTCATTGTTTCCTTTACTGGCCATAATCCCATTAATGAAAAACAAGATAAATCCCATTGTTTCACATGCTGCAGATCCTGATCCAAAGACCAATAACTGGAATCTAATTTGATTGGATTTTTCAATTTCCCTATACATCACTGGGTTATGATATGTTAAAATTGTGTACCTATGTTGTATCCCTTTGTTTGAAAAAAAAACATACCTAACAAAATGTTGGGTACTTAAGAAATTTTGGTTTGCTAATGTACTACTTTGTGTGACAGAATTTCTTATTATTGCAAGTTTTAGTTGTGTTGACATAGCGTTTATAATGCAAGGTTTAATGAATTTGATGCCAATGGTGGACCCATTTCGAAGGAGTTGATTCCCAAGCTCACTGTTGTGAAGAAAAATTTGTCCTCCAAATTGGGGGTAGCACTACCAGATATTGATGTGAGGCCATGTTTTTATCTACTATCCTTTTAGCTGAATAGATTTCATTATTTAGTACCCTTTCTGACTGAAATACTAAATACAGGCCCGGCAATTCATTTCTGTTATCATATTTCTCAAGGGGGTTGGTGGGATTTTGTTTGTGTTTGGCAGCACATTTGGATCTTTTCTACTGGTAAGGACTTGGTTATATTGTGAAGAAGACGCTATTCTAAATCTTAAGTGTTCTTTTAAAGCTCATGTCATTGTTGTGCTTCAAACGAATTATAAATGTAGATTTTTTTTTTTCTCTTTTTGTAGCTTCTGCATTTAAGGCTTTTGTTGTTGTTTTTGTTATAGCTCTTACATTTGGCGCTTACCACTCCACTTTTGTACGATTTCTACAACTATAGACCTGGAAAGCCCAAGTATAATCATCTGCTGAATGAATTCATGCTGGTTTGTCTGAAACTTTTTTGACTTGATGTCTTGCTAATTGATGTTTTCAATTGTGTGAGAACTTGATATATACTATTGTGGTTACTTTTGATGGCAGAACACGGCACTTTTTGGGGCATTGCTATTCTTTATTGGAATGAAGAACTCAATTCCCAGGAGTCAGCTCAGGAAGAAGACCCCTAAAGCGAAGACAGTTTAGAAAAATAGAGTAAAAGAAGTACTAGTTTGTCAGAGTGCTTAGTTTCGGCATTCAGTATTTGATCTTCAGCTGAGTTTGGAATAGTTACTTAGACTTTATTAAGATGATTTTTGTTTATTTGTCAGATGGACCATATTTTGATTATTGGCATGCTTCCCCTTTTACTTGCAATTATATTCTACTTGACACAGAGAAATTAAAGCTAAGATATGTTCAGATTTGATTATCAATACTTAATGAGTAAATGGATTTCCTTGTTGGAAGCAGAGTGAAAATTCTTACTAACTGAAAGCAGATGTTAATGCATGAGAAACAAACTGAAATCCTCAGTGAAGTGTTGTTGGATCATCATTTAAGGTGTCATTTTGATGGAGACAGGTGCTGGTGTTAACATAGACTCCATCTACCTATAAATTCATTCGGCCCCATTGGGTTCTTGAAGCCACCTCCATGCATGAATGAATCAAGATGGACCGTTTTTATTCATGATGCTCTAAAGGAAAAGAAAAGGTAACAACAATAATCAGCTACTGTCCTAACAGAAAAAATTTCCTCACCAAGTCAATAGAAACATTTAGTATGATGCAAGGGATTTACATGATGGTCTGAAATTATTACATTGATTCACCCTTTTTTTTCTCCTTCAATCTCATACTCCTCCTTGTTTATACCATTCATAACAAAACAATAAATTCATGATGTTTTATTCAAATCTTGGAAACAATGGATTTAGGTGCTAAACCCAAAACATCACACACTTCAGGGAACAAACTTTTTCTGATTTCAACATAAGCCTCACCAACCCACTTCCTTCGTGCCAACTCCTCCCCCAGGCGCATCGCAGCCTCCACGGTACCCTCCGCGCTATCGTGCGCAGAGCGCACAATCCCCATCTCCACCGCTTCCTCCGCCTTCACCTTCCTCCCCGCGAGCACTACGTCACGAGCCGCCGCTACCTTCTCCCTCATGACGGCTGCAAAGTAGTCAGGGAGCGTGATCCCGAGGTCCACCTCCGGCATGTAGAGGACGCCGCGGTCGCCGCGCATGAGGACGTGGTCGTGCGCGAGCGCGAGAACAGCTCCCGCCGCGGCAGCGTGACCGGAGACAGCGGCGACGGTGGGGATGGGAAGGGAGAAGAGTGCGGCGAGGACGGGGCGAAGGGAGTTCGACATAGCGCGGAGGCGGATGCGGGCAGCTTGAGGGTCGGCAGCTGCACGCGCCCAGCGGAAGTCGAACCCATTGCAGAAGAATCTGCCTTGGGCGGTGGTGACGAGGGCGGAGGCGGCGGTTGCTTGGGAGTGGACTTGGGTGAGAGCGGCGAGGAGGGAGGAGAGGAGTGTGGGGTTGAGACGGTGTTGTTCGTCGCTTTCGCTGGTTAGGGTCAGAACGAAAACCGATCCTCTCTTCTCCAACGTGCACTCCATCCTACCTGAGTAGAGTAGTTCTGTATCACTCATGGGTTTACCATCCTCTCTATAAAAAGTCTCGATTTTCTTCTTTTTTTTCTCGCATTCGGAGTTTTTTTTTTTTAAATTCATTGTCCCAAAAATTCTATCGGAACAGAATTCGAACAGGAGAACGGTAAGTTATTTCAATTTCTCATTTTATTTTATAATTCTTTTAAATGAGCTATTAACTTATTTAATTGAAAATTATATATATATATATATATATAT